CTCTATTCCCTTCATCGGGCGGGCAGCAGCAGCAGCAGCGCCGCAACCACCACAGCAGCAGAGTCCAAGCTCCTCTACGCCGGTCGCTATGCCCGCCGCGGCTGGCACCAAGCGTCCGAGCAACAACGGCGCCACGTCGTCGCCCACCAACCGACGCCCGGACAGTACTGCTGCGCCCCCGACCACGACTCCGACCCCGGCCCCGGCCCCGAAGGTTTCTGCAACTCCTCCCGCCACGCCTACACCCCCCGCCGCTGCCGCCGCCGCCGCCCCTCAGCCTCGGGCGACGCGTCCCAGTCCTTCCAGCGCCCGCCCCACCCAGCCAAAGGTAATCGGCGGGGTGACGTACAACCTGGAGACGCTCTCGTCCCAAGCCGCCGTCGCCGATGTCGAGGCCCACCCCGTCGGTACGTTGGGCGCGAACACGACACTCTCTCATTCCCTTCTCTCCGCTCGGGTGTTCAGCCGTTTGAAATATGTTCGGCTTTAACAGAGGGAACGGAAGGGCCGCGTCTCGAGTTCTACATGACCGGCAAGAAAGTCCTCATCGGTACCTCCTCATCCGTCCGCGTGCAACCAACTCAGATCGTTAAACCAATGTTCTCTGCTTCAGCCGCCTCATTCGTTTGAAACTAACGCTCAACGTTGCTTGCGCATCAGGTCGTCGAAAACTGTTTGCTCCTAACAACCCAGCAGAGATGGAGAACTCACTGGACTTGTCGGACTTCCCCAAGGCCAACGTTATCTCCAGGTTCGTTCGTCTCCTCGAGTATAGTCAATCGTGTTTTCCCGTCGTGTGCGCTCGATCGAGAGTTACTTCGTGCGGTCGCTGACTCTGCGTGCTTTTACTACAAATCCAACAACAGAAAGCAGGTGGTGGTTACGGCCCTGAAGAGTGGCAGCTTCACTATCGAGAACTTTGCGAGGAACACCACCTCGCTCAACGGAACGTACGTTGGCCCCACACTTGCCAACAAAAGCAATGTTAACCACTCAAGTCTCCACCATGGTACGCGCACCAACACCCCACATCCCACGACCGAGCAGGCCTCTTCTTCAAGGCCAGCCAAGGACAGCTACTTTGCCCTTCGAGCTCTCCTTTGCAGATGTCGTGGTCGTTTTCAAGCCTCCGGCCAAGCCCCGGGTCCCGGCCGTACGCCCCGTCTCCCGCCTCCCCTGTTGTTTGTTGGTGTTGTGTCGGCCTTCTCGCTCACTGAGGGTCCCTACATGTTGGGGCTGACACAGTGGTGGGTCGCGATGTGGGCGGAGAAGAGAGAGGCCAAGGAGAAGGAGAACCCCAAGAACCCCAAGTGAACGGCAACACGATTGCCAAACAAAACAAAACAAAAACAGAGAAAAAAAGTTAAACTAAGGACGCGACATGTGCATGAAGGCCAACAGTGTAATGCCAACACTTACTTCTCTCCACAGCCGGGCCTTTCAACGAGGGGACGATCGACGATTAGTGGTTGCGGCGCATCCGTCCCATGGAGGTGAGGTTCATGAGCTCCTCGGGTTCCATGTGGGCGGTTCGGGGCGCCCGCTTCACCGCGCGGCCCTCGTCGAGCATCTCCTCGTGGTCGGTGCCCTCATCGTCAGTGCCCTCCGCGCGGGCCGGCTTGTTCTTGGCCTTCTCCTTTTCCTTGGCTTCCTTCTCCAACAGCATCGCCGCCGCCTTCTTGGCCTGCAGCACCGCCACGCCACGCCACGCCACGTCATCATAGTCAATGCCGTGTGTGTCGTTGTGTGTGTGTGTGTGAGTGCGTGCGTGCGTGCGTGTGTGCGCGCCCCGTTGTATGTGTGGTGGAGAGTAGGTACCCGCTCGATGGCGCGTGCTGCGGCTTCGATCTCCTTGCGGTTCTTGTCCAGGGCGTGGGTGAGGTCCTTGTTGAAGTCGTGCACGATTTGTACAATATCGGAGCCGGCCACCTCGCCAAACGCCAGCGCCAGGTCGTTGAACCTGGAGAATGGAGCACAGAGTTACACGTCACGATTCTGCATTATTAATATAGGAAAAATATTGTATTGATACCTTTGGGTGAGCTGATTCGCGTCCTCACGGATTTCGTCGACGAGCGGCCGCGACCTCTTGACGAACGTGCTCATCACCCTGGTTGCGCCCACACCACGACACGAACGTCAAACACCGTTGACAATCACACTTGCCATCACCATCAGAGCTTCCAGAGTGGGTGTAAAGGGGGGGGGTCGGTACCCGGGGAAGGAATCGGAGGAGTCCTGGGCCTTCATCTCCTGCACGAACCCTTCGACGTTGGTGATGCCCCTCGAAAGCGTGGCGGCTTCTTCGCTCGCCGCGCTGACCAATTCTGAAGCGCCACATATATGAGGAGGGGGTGAGCGTTGGGGCGCCGTCATCAGCTCTGGAGACTGTCATCAGAGGGCCGCGCGTTGTTGTTGTTGTTGGTTGTTGGGTACCCTTGTATTGGCGGCCCAGATTGGGCATGTCGTATTCGAGCCCCAGCAGCTTCGGATTCTGTTGTGGTTGTGTGATGCCAATGCACCGCCCAATGTCAGCACCACACACACACACACACACACACAACACACACAACACACACAACACACGAAACGTGGTGGATTCGGGACGAACCCGTTGCTCCAAAATCTGGGCGAGGAGGCGCATGAGATTCCAGCCCGTGTTGTCCGTGTCTCGCATGTCCGACAACTGGCGCGGGAGGGCAGAATTGGGCCATGAGGGCGCCATATATGCAGGCGTTAGGACATGTCCTGCATTGGCCGTGTCCGACGCGTGGGCAGAAGAGGGGCGCGCACCTTGAGGAGGGAGGATATCTTGTAGCCCTTGGCCTGGCCACCGAAGTACCCGTCGTTGAGGTAGTTGCCCAG